GAGTTGTAGCCAGCAGTATTTTTAACCTTAGCGTGTACATTTCACTAGCTGTAGATTTATATTCTATCCCTTAGTTGACGACTTCCCCAGAAGGGGAAGATGATTGTGGCTAAGGAGAGGAGCGAGAGAGGGGCCGCAGAACGAGTGATTGAGGCCAGGGGCTGAGTGATCACTGGACAGAGCACAGACAGCGGCGAGCGAATTCCCCAGATGAGCCACAAGAAGGTGCCGCCAAGCAGTGAGTAGCTGACCCTGTTACACCCTCACATAGGGAGAGTGATCTAGAGGGTTCAGGAAGGGGGCTAGGAATTAACAACTCCCAGGTTCCAATTTTGGCTCTGCTTAGGACTTCTGGCCTTGGGCAAGTTAGTTATCCTCTATTTCCTCCTCTGTAAAGTGGAGAGAACACGTACCTACCTCCCAGCGGTGTTGTGAGGATTAATTGACAGTGCTGTTAAGGTCTCTGCCCAAGATCTATTACGTTAGGAAATTAAATAGAAAACAAAGCTTGACTCTACGAGTGCCACTGATCTTTTAGATCAGGAGTCTGAGCAGTATCTGGCTCCTGCACGGATTCCTTGCGGCTTTGATTGCGAACATCATGGAGCGGGGACCATCCCTTCTTGTCTGTCCGGAAAGCACTTACCATGCTGCAGGTCCTAACCAGCAAATAATGCACACTAATGAATATATTTATGCATATAAGCCCCATTTTCCCCAAGCAGCACAGCAGAGTATTCTGTTATCATGGTCCAAATGACAAAACATTTCCGAAGATTACTAGACACGTGTTTATTTAATTTCTATGAACTGATTAATGGGTGTTTATGAACGGAACGAACAGTCATTTTGAGAAACAATTCTTCAGTGCACTTTTAAACCTCCGGAGTGTTTTCAGTCATATCTTTAGAAGAGGAACTGCACCGTCTCCACTAAGAACTACAAAAGAAAGTCCAGTCTTGTGACTCGTGCTACAGCTGCTCTGAAGAGTTTAGACCGAAACCAATTTTTTCCTGAGGAAGCTTTTCTTAGGACTTTGGGACAAACTGAACTGGTATTAAAATCAGTGGAATTACTCACATTCTTACAATTAAGAACGTGCTGTGCTGGATTGGGGCCGCAGTGCTGAGCACACTGCAGGATCAAGCTCTCTCAGCAACCGAAAAAGAGAGTTACCTTTTCTGTAACTGGTGTTCTTCAAGATGTGCTGCTCATGTCCATTCCATAATAGGTGTGTGCGCTCGCCACATGCACCGGTGCCGGAAGTTTTTCCCTCAACAGTAACTGTAGGGGCTGGCTCTGGCGCCCCCTAGAGTGGCACACGCATGGTGCGGTATAAGGGACGCTGCTGGCTCCCCCCACCCTCAATTCCTTCTTGCCAGAAACTCTGGCAGTGGGGAAGGAGGGCGGGTCGTGGAATGGACATGAGCAACACGTCTCAGAGAACACCAGTTACAGAAAAGGTAACTTGTCTTTTCTTCTTCAAGTGCTTGCTCATGTCCATTCCATATTAGGGGACTCCAAAGCAGTACCCCTGGAGGCGGATAGGAGTTCACGGACGTGTAGATTGCAACACAGCTCTGCCGAACCCAGTGTCAACCCTGGGCTGCTGAATGATGGCATAAGGAGCAGTAAATGTGTGGACAGAGGACCACATTGCGGCTCTACAGATGTCCTGGATAGGGATGTGCGCCAGGAAGGCCGCCGAAGACACCTGCGCTCTCGTCGAGTGGGCTTTGACAATTGGCAGCTGCAGAACCCACGCCAGGTCGTAACAGGTCCTTATGCATGAGGTGATCCAATTGGAAATCCTGTGTGAGGACACCGGGTGAGCCTTCATCCTATCTGCTGTAGCGATGAAGAAGCTGAATTGATTTATGGAAAGGCTTGGTACGTTCTAAGTAAAAAGCCAAGGCTCTCTAGATGTCCAGGGCATGAAGACGCCTCTCCTCACTGGTTTTGTGTGGTTTGGGACAAATGTTATGACCTTAAAGTCTGTGGACTTCAACATGCAAAGTGGATGAGATACACTTTACCCTGGCTGAGAGAATACTTCTGTCACGTTCCTGAAGAGCCCCCTAAAGCATTTATCCACACGGCTTTCAAAAAAGCCACAATTTGATATTTTATGGTCTGGGTAAACAGTGCAGTGTATGATCACACACTAGTCCCATCAGTGTAGTTTCTGAGGACCGTCACAATAGTCAATATATCTAGCCTCACAATATCCTTGTGAGGGAGGGCAGAGCTACTATTCCCATTTTACAGATGTGGAAACTGAGGCACAGAGAGGCTAAGGGTATGTCTACACAGGAAAAAAACCTGCAGCTGGCCCGGGCCAACCGACTCAGGCTCACGGGGCTCTGGCTGTGTAGACTTCTGAGCAGAGGCTCTCCCACCCTGCCGGGTCCTAGAGCCCATGCTCCAGCCCGAGCCCGGAAGTCTACATAGCAATGAAACAGTCCCGGAGCCTGAGCCCCACAAGCCCAAGGCAACTGGTGCCCAAAGTCACACAGGAAGTCTGCAGAGAACCATGCACCCTGTCTTTCAACCTTGCTGTTTATGCCAGTATCTTAAGTGACAAAGACTGGATATTTGATTTCATCTACACATGCAAAAAATGTGAAGCTCTTCCCACCATTTGATCTAACACTGCTCAGAGTCCAAGGACACTTTGTGATGGTCTCTTAGGGCAGGAAGTTGCTCAGTCAGGTGGATTTCTTTAGCCTTGTCTATACTGGGAAAATGTGTTAACTAATATGTTTTAACTAGCACAACAATAAACACAACTGCCCCATGTCTTAAATGAGATTTACCATTGTGTTAGTTAAAATGTATTAGTTAACATTTTCCAACATGAGTCATTTTCCCAGGACAAAGAAGACCTAGTTGAGATTTCCACAAACCTAGGTGATTCGGGGAAAAAAGCAGCAGCAGCATGAAGTGAAAAGCTCCGCTTTATAAATCAACGTCTAAGGTGGCAGCAAGAACGCAAGACGTGGGGGGAAGCATATGGCTGTTTGATGTGGGGGGTGGAGAGCTCTTTCAGCACTGAGGGTGCTAGCTATCATCAAAGTGACTCCAGGAAAAAGATACAGCATTCTAGAAGCCTAATGAGATCCGCTATTCTGGAAAAATAGGGTCGCTATCCGTTTCCAAAGTGGTAACTATAGTCTGAGCAAAGCAACTTATTGATCTTTCAGCAAGCAGATACTGGGAAGCAGTCATTCCCTATCTTTTTCGCTTTGGGGAATTACTGATAAGATAAGGAAATGAGATACATTCATTACAATGGGCACTGTCAAGGTCAGGAGGTTCCATATTTGATTCACCGTCCCCCTTGCCTTGAGCTCTTTAAAAAAAAAACACAAAAAAAACATGTCAATATTTATGCAGGTGTTCCACCTCTCACCCTTGTTAAAGTCCCCCTCCAATGCTTCAGTGCTCTGTCTTCAGTAGAGCCCTGTTTATCTGATCCCTGAATGCCTGTCTTGTCCGAATTATAGCTGCCGTCCCGTATTAGTGCTTGTATGTCAGACACTTTCTCAAACTGACAATGACCCCAAATATTTTGCTGTCCCTGAAAAGTTGTGAACATAGGAGATGTACTGCCTATTTAATTCCACACCAGTAGCACAGCACGCAGGAACAATCCTGTAACAGATCAGCATACATGCATGATGGGGGAAGATTTTTGGTAAATTTCAACCTTCCAAGGAGCAGATGTGATAGCCAAATAGTATCTTATCCCACAAGTAGTTTTAAAAAAAAAATTAAATTTCCGTGGGACCACTCTTCATGGAGCAAGATATTACTCAATATCAATAAAGATGTCAGAATCTGGCCCCATAGTATTATTTTATACTGAATCCAAGAATGATTTTTAAAATGATGAAAAAATCTCAAGTGCCTTTTTAAAAAACAGCCACACCACATCTATTTCATGTTACTTGATATTTACATAGCATCATGAATTAAGAGAGAGACCCATCAGCCGATCAGGGAACAGAGAGGAAGAAACGGGAGAAAGGACGAGAGGACTATAACAAAGTATTAAGAATGATATTACATTGGCTACGACGCATCAGTTAAGAATGAACTAGCACAGGAATGGCAGCGAACAGTGGGAGGTGAAGGGAAAGGAGCGGTTTGAAGGACAGTGAGCATTTCTGACACTATGGAAAAAGGAAGATTTCATGCGACCTCTACTCTTTGGACAAAAGCATCGAGTCTGAAGTGGGAGAAGGGAAAAAAAAGGTAACAAAAAGATGAGAACTGTGCAGTAAAGGTTAAATGTAGATGACAATCCTCTCCCATTATTTATTGCTTTTAATAGCTGCTTTAGAAATCCACCCCCACCAGCCACGCCCTGCCCCCTCCCCCTAAGAGAAAACATGCACTGAGTCCAAAAAGTGAGACCCTCCAGATACAACCATTCAAGGTAGGTAAACTGTGGTGCTACTAGCTTGACAGCATTGCTAAACTGTCTTCTTCCACTGCTCTCTCTCAGGGCAAACAGTACCAATGGTAACTGAAAACGAGGTCTCATGTTCAGTGGGTGGGAAGCCCTCAAAAGGCAAAAATGCACATGCTGCACGTCTGAGCAAGTAGGCCATTTGCCATGCACTCACCAACTCAGAAGTTACGTAGGAAAAAGATCTACAGTGTTATCTAGTCCGGCTAACTCTCTGGATGATACTGCCGCTTTGTTCCCTACAATACATTCTCCGGTGCTTTTTCCAGTCCCATTTCAAACAACTTAAGCGAAGGGGCTTCTTTTGGAACACTACTGCACAGTACAAGATCTCTCTTTATTTACTATGCCATTAAACCACCCTGAAAAATTCATCTCCTTCTGCATTTCTAGGCAGCAAGTACCCACTGTTACCCTTTCCCCTACTCCCCATGCAATGGTCCCACCAAGCCATAATCTTGTTTTCACTCTCAACTCTTCTACTCTCCCCTTTCCCCAGATCTGAAGAGCACGGGATCCTACTTACGGTGCTCGATCATAGTTCAACCCATTCTGTCTTTGTGCGTTTATTGGAGGTAGAACAGGTTTGCTGTTAATCTCAAGCCCTCTCCGCAAAGTCTCCCTGATTTGCTCTGTATCTGCAAAGAGAGTTTGTTTGAACGTGGTTTAGTACGCGCACACACACACACACACACACACCTGCTAATGAGAACCTGAGGGAGTCAGCTTCTTTTGGTGTCTTTCTCTATAACAGGTATTCAACAGAGCTCACCCCCTTTGCCTGGGTGCAGAAAGAGGTGCTCTCCATGACACCTCAGGCTTATGAAGTTATTTCTCTGCAGTCCATTTCAGTTCTTCCATTTTGGTGTCCAGCAAGGAAGGATGGAGCCTTTGGCAAGAACTCATCCAGAGGGGGAATGCTAAGCAATTAGGTATCTCATCCACCCTTTTTCATAGGGAAAAAGTTCTCCCAGAACCGCCTGAATCCAAGACACATCTAACTCTTTGATGCTGAGAATTTTCCCAACCAGGTGATACAATGGAAGTTTATCCCTTTATCAGATTAATTAAAGACTCCCCCCATAACTTCTACATTTGCCTTTGCAAGCCTGTCAGTTAATTTAAACACACTCATGTGAGTGGGCTCCAAGAAAGAAAGGAACTGAACTGAATTTTACACAGGGCAAAAGTTCATCCTGAAACTTAATTTTCACATTTAGCTTCATGTACACTTTAAATGCAGTCCTTAACCTTTACATTTTTTCCAATAATGTCTGATAGACAAATATATTACAGGGAAATTTGCATGCAAGCTTTCCTAAGAAGCTCCCACTACTTTTGTGAAAGGTTGGAGTGAAATATTCTATATAAAGCATTTCAGAATCATCTGAAGGGCATAACATAAATATGACTTTGTATAGATCTCCCAGATTTTTCATTTGGGGGACCGGGGAGGAGGGGGGAAATGGTGTCTTATACTGTGACTTACATACCCCCAAGACTGCATTTTTCAGTTAAAAAAAATTGAAGACAAGAAAAATATTAACTATGTCTACAGAAACCATCATTACTTGCTTTTAATGTCAACTCCTATAAATCAGACTTCCCCACATTTTATTGTAATAAATCTATATGGATTTGAAAGATCTCATTTAAACAGGATTTAAATTACACACACTCATGTGTGCACCACATCTACCCCACTTGTAACCCAAAATGGCACCTCACTATAAGGTCTCCAATGTTTTCAGCCCGTTCTCCAGAGCCCCTTATTTACAGGTACCATTTGAGTTATTGTTGCGACAAGCAATGTCAGTCCAAGTTGACAGCCAATACTTGGAAATATTATATTAGAATTAGAGCCAGGTGGGGGAAACAACTATTGTGCACAGGTGTCTGATGAGCCTTTTTGGTTTCATGTGACATGGGCTTGCTTCCTGAGTTTTACTCTGGACTTTCAGATTGGAATTAACCCCAAAACAAAGCTAAACTCAGACAGTCACCCGAAAGAATAAATTCCCTCCTTCCCTGAAGAGGGTGAAGTTGAGCAGGGTTGGGGTTTGCAATGAAGTTTGGGCACAACTTTAATGTGACCTTTCAAGCTCTATAGAATAGTCCTAAGGCTATGCAAACCAAGTGCTTCAAGTACATAGGGAATGTCTTTGGGGGAGGGGGGAAACTGACTCAGTCAAGTCCCTCTTACCTTTCCCAGACAGCCGTCGTGGCTGCGTTCCAATGCAAATGCTTCTACTATCTTCGTCATCCTCTGGGGGCCGGCTCAGATCATCCCAGGCACATTTGGCGCTCACTCCACTCAGGTTCGAGCCATCTGTCTCAATCCCTTTATCGACTCTCTCCTGCTTGAAAAGATCCCAAGAGCCATGACTTTTTTGGGTATGGTTTGGATCTAAGCAGCTGTCAGAAGCACAGTCTTGCGGTCCACCTGTTACCAGCTGAGTGCAAAACAGCTCCTTTCCAAATCAGCTCCTGGGTGAGTAAAGCTACGATCTCTGACACGCTTCTAAAAGACCCAAAGCACAAGCAGCATGGATATACTATCTCTGCAAAATGACCAGATTACTTCCGCTCTTCATTCAATTCTTAACCTTGTATCAATGTTACAAACCACAGATAAACTCAACGAATGTAGCAATGAGCAATTACTTTTTGTGCAATCTTCTCTGAGGTTTTGCATAACCTCCCTTTAATTACAAACACATGAATGCCCTGCACCTCTGGAGTCAGAATTTCCCAGCACACAAGAGACTACTCTGGTGAGGTTTACACAATGGGTATGTCCACACCTGACTTTTTGGACATCAGATAATAAGTGCTGACTAACACTACTGTTTGTTCTTAGACACCACAAATTTTCCAGGACACACACAATTGTTGCTAGCAATCTTCAAACTTTGAGCCGCAGCCAAAAATTTAAGTGTAGGCCTACCTAGTGAAGGAACTATTTTTAGTCTAGATTTCCAGCTTTCACCACTAGGGGATGCTGTTAAGCTAAACCACTTTGAGGTTTCAGAGTGGTAGCCGTGTTAGTCTGTATCAGCAAAAACAATGAGGAGTCCTTGTGGCACCTTAGAGACTAACAAATTTATTGAATTGGCCTAGTTAGCACTGACCTCCCACTTGGTAAGGCAACTCCCATCTTTTCGTGTGCTGTATATATATATATATATATATATATACATACACATACATACACACACATACATACATACATACACACACACACACACACACACACTGTCTTACTTTATTTTTCACTCCAGGCATCTGATGAAGTGGGCTTTAGCCCACAAAAGCTTATGCCCAAATAAATTTGTTAGTCTCTAAGGTGCTACAAGGACTCCTCGCTGCTTTCACTTGAAGGTTGAAATACAGAGATGAACTCCGCTTCTATTCATTGTACGCATTTGAATGCAAATGTGGAGCTTTCTTCCTGGTTTCAATTTGTACACAGTAAAAGTGACAGTTTTTTCTGCTCCACCCACGTTTTAAATAGAGAAGTTTTTGCTTCAGTGTACTGACTCAAGCATGCTTGGATGTTAGATGATCTGAACTTTGTATTTCAGTCATCAGATTTTAATGGAAACGTACATGCGGTATTTGTATCCTCAGAGTTTCCAGATTGTCAGTGCAAGCCCCTTTACCGTTGCAGTGGTTTAAAAGGGGTGGTTTGTTCAACATCTTTATTAATGGAGCCTGTCTTGTTCAACAACTTTATTACTGATCTGGATGATGGGATGGACTGCACCCTCAGCAAGTTCGCAGAGGACACTAAGATGGGGGGAGAGGTAGATATGCTGGAGGGTAGTGACAGAGTCCAAAGTGATCTAGACAAATTGGAGGACTGGACCAAAAGAAATCTAATGTGGTTCAACAAGGACAAGTGCAGAGTCCTGCACTTAGGAAGGAAGAATCCCATGCACCGCTACAGGCTGGGGACTGACTGGCTAAGCAGCAGTTCTGCAGAAAAGGACCTGGGGATTACAGTGGACGACAAGCTGGATATGAGTCAACAGTGTGCCCTTGTTGCCAAGAAGGCCAACGGCATATTGGGCTATATTAGTAGGAGCACTGCCAGCAGATCGAGGGAATTGATTATTCCCCTCTATTCATCACTGGTGAGGCCACACCTGGAGTATTGCATCCAGTTTTGGTCCCCCACTACAGAAGGGATGTGGACAAATTGGAGAGAGTCCAGCAGAGGGCAACAGAAATGATTGGGGGGCTGGGCACATAACTTACAGGCTGAGGGAACTGAGAGGTTATTTAGTCTGCAGAAGAGAAGAGTGAGGGGGCATTTGATAGCAGCCTTCAACTACCTGAAGAGGGGTTCCAAAGAGGATGGAGCTAGGCTGTTCTCAGTGGTGGCAGATGACAGAACAAGGAGCAATGGTCTCAAGTTGCAGTGGGGGAAGTCTAGGTTGGATATTAAGAAAAACTTTTTCACTAGGAGGGTGGTGAAGCACTGGAATGGGTTACCCTAGGGAGGTGGTGGAATCTCCATCCTTAAAGGGGTTTTTAAGGCCCGGCTTGACAAAGCCCTGGCTGGGATGATTTAGTTGGGGTTGGTCCTGCTTTGAGCAGGGGGTTGGACTAGATGACCTCCTGAGGTCTCTTCCAACCCTGATATTCTATGATTCTATGAAAAGGCTGACTCCAAGCTAAAGTAAACATCAACCACCAGTGTTTCTATCCAGTTTTACATTGCATTACTTACGTACCCCATCCTCACCTTCAGAGGTACCTCAAGTTTAATGTCTGCAATTACCAAATTCCTGCTTATGTTGCCAGGTCCCTGCATGCTCTGGACTGGTGACATAAGGATCAGGGCTACAAGTCAGCTCAATAGGGGGAAGGTCATTCTATTTATAGGCAAAACTGACGCCATCTCTAAGAGTTCCACTAAACCAGTGCAAATTTCTCAGCACTGTGTAAAGTCAGGTTCACCCTTCCCTTGCTAGCATCCTTCAGTGGTGCTACCAACGCCTCTGCTTCAATGCATACCTCAAGGACATCTCAATAGGAGCGAGAAGCCTAGCAAACTGTGAAGCAGCGACTTCAGGCATTCAGTGAAAAAATGATTCTTCAAGTGGTACATACACACTCCAGTATCAGCAATGACGACTCCTTATCTCTACCTTAGAGCTCTGCTCTAATCCTAATCTAATCTAATCCTGCTAGGTGCTTGGCGTACTCAACTCCCATTGACTTCAGTGAGACTTGGAAGCACTTAGCATTTTGCAAGATTAGTCCCATAACAAGAAGCATCTCTGCTAATCCCTGATGTACCTCTGTCACCCACACTCAACTGCATATGCTGTAACCTACAGTGTGGACTGTTCTTGTGATTGTGAGATGGATTCAGAGCAGTCCAAGATCCACACAACTCAGCTGGAGGCAACCAACACTGCTGAGTATATAGCTGTCCTCTTAGGACCAAGTTCAGCCCTGGCTTAACTGGGCACAATTCTCATTGACTTCAAACAGAAAGCATGTCTGCTTATGCCAGGGCTGCATTTGGTCCCAAGCCTGGCTAAGACATAGTTGTCTGGAAGAGGTTGGGAACCACTGTGCTGAAGACAAACCTCTCCTCCCACACAAGACAATGCAATCTAAACACAAGCTAGACCCCTCATTAGTTACTGGGCAGCTGGGCATTACCAGCTCTCAGGAAAGTGGGGAGGTTTTCTCCCGAGAAACATTTCCAATCACTGTCACCACCCAATGCAACTTCAGCCTCCACACCCCCATTCTGAGTATGTAGCTCAATGAGGCCCACCACTTGCTGTATGTGTCATAGAATATCAGGGTTGAAAGGGACCTCAGGAGGTCATCTAGTCCAACCCCCTGCTCAAAGCAGGACAAATCTCCAACTACATCATCCCAGCCAGGGCTTTGTCAAGCCTGACCTTAAAAGCCTCTAAGGAAGGAGATTCCACCACCTCCCTAGGTAACCCATTCCAGTGCTTCACCACCCTCCTAGTGAAATAGTGTTTCCTATCTAAATCTATCCAATCTAAACCTCCCCCACTGCAACTTGAGACCATTACTCTGTGTTCCGTCATCTGGTACCACTGAGAACAGTCTAGATCCATCCTCTTTGGAACCCCCTTTCAGGTAGTTGAAAGCAGCTATCAAATCCCCCCTCATTCTTCTCTTCTGCAGACTAAACAATCCCAGTTCCCTCAGCCTCTCCTCATAAGTCATTTGCTCCAACCCCCTAATCATTTTTGTTGCCCTCCACTGGACACACTAATTTTTCCACATCCTTCTTGTGGTGTGGGGCCCAAAACTGGACACAGTACTCCAGATGAGGCCTCACCAAATGTTGAATAGAGAGGAATGATCACGTCCCTCGATCTGCTAGCAATGCCCCTACTTATACAGCCAAAAATGCCGTTAGCCTTCTTGGCAACAAGAGCACACTGTTGACTCATATCCAGCTTCTCGTCCACTCTAACCCCAAGGTTCTTTTCTGCAGAACTGCTTCCTAGCCATTTGGTCCCTAGTCTGTAGCAGTGCATGGGATTCTTCCTTCCTAAGTGCAGGACTCTGCACTTGTCCTTGTTGAACCTCATCAGATTTCTTTTGGCCCAATCCTCCAATTTGTCTAGGTTCCTCTGTATCCTATCCCTACCCTCCAGCGTATCTACCACTCCTCCCAGTTTAGTGTCATCTGCAAACTTGCTGAGGGTGCAGTCCACACCATCCTCCAGATCAATAATGAAGATATTAAACAAAACCGGCCCCAGGACCGACCCTTGGGGCACTCCGCTTGAAACCGGCTGCCAACTAGACATGGAGCCATTGATCACTACCCGTTGAGCCCGACGATCTAGCCAGCGTTCTATCCACCTGATGGTCCATTCATCCAGCCCATACTTCTTTAACTTGCCACACATGAAACATGGGCCTGACACGGTACTCAACACAGCAGCAGCCGCTTATGCCTGTGCAGCCCTCTGCCAAGCCTCTGTTCTGCAGCACAGCGGGAAACATACAGAAGCAGATGAATGTATGCACCTGAATAGGACAGGGGCAGGAGACGCCGACGACGTAGACTGTTTATACCCAAATAGATCAGGGAAAGCACAGTTAGAGCCTGATGGAAAAAAAATAGTACTTCTACACCTCAGCTTGTCATGGCTGACTTGCATGTCAGGAAGTTTGGTTCCCACCCCCAAACACACTCTTTTACTTAGAACCTCTATGAACAAACATGTGGGCACTAGGGGGCACTATTGTGCAAAGAATAGTCTAGCACTGTCTCGGCATGGAAAGCACAGAGAGGTAGAAACTAAATATTACAGACAAGCTTTTAAAAGTAGTAATCAAATCTTGCTAGCTGGAGTGGAAGAACAAAAACAATACCGAGGTAGAACTATACTCCCATACGTCAGGCTGTGACCTTTTCAGATCTTGTCAGCCCTGATCAGCACTTCATGGGAGGCCAGGATAAAAGGATACTGGAAGAAGTTGAGTTTGTGACTCAGTAAAGTGGCATTCTACCCCTCACCCTACCAAGTTAATACTGAACCAACACGCCAGCTTGGGGTTAACCGTGATGAGCTGCTGGTAGTGTTGTGGAATATATAAAATGCAAAACTGAAGTTCACTTGGGCTCATTCAACATCCCATGGCATTTCCCGTATGAGTAGGGGTGTTAATCTTTGTCTTGGCCCAATTCCTGTTTGGTTCATTTCATCCTGCCTCTGTTCTCTATAGATTCTAATGAAAAAGGATTCTTTACAATCTGCCATAAGCTTCTGTGTAGTGTTGCTTTCACTGTTAAACATCTATGTTTCAGCCATGCATTTCCATGGTAGGAGATTATGTATCTTTCAAGGTTTTGTATTAGTGCCTACCGCTGTCAAATCTGAGCGCACAAAAAAACCACACAAGTTTGTTGGATCTGTGGAACTATGTTTCTGCCAGATTTTGATTAGGGTTTTAAATGTACATGCCCCTGGGGAAAAAATGAATATAATTTGGTTTTAATATACAAGCTTTCACATTAAAGATACTGAAAAGTTACATAGAACAATTAGACACAGATGTATGGACCATAAGACAAATGGAATAGCCAACGTAAAACGTGTTATATTGGGCCAAATCTTGAATTCTTTACTAAGGCAAAATTCTTACTCATGTCAGAGAAACACAGAATTGTTATATTGAATCGTATCTATGGCGTAGCTAGTCCAGTATCATGTGTCTGACAATGACCAGTACCAGATGCTCCAGAGGAAGGTGCATCAGGGTCTTTTCCTGATCTCTAATAGTTAGATTGGCTTAAACCCTGAAGCCTGAGGTTTAATATCCTTCCAATTTTAACAACTTTCTTGATAGTCTTGAAATCCATGTATCAGAGGGGTAGCCGTGTTAGTCTGTATCCACAAAAACAATGAGAAGTCTGGTGGCACCTTAAAAGACCAACAGATTTATTTGGTCATAAGCTTTCGCGGGTTAAAAAAACCACTTCTTCAGATGCATGGAGTGAAAACTGCAGATACAGGCATAAATATATATTGGCACATGAAGAGACAGGAGTTACCTTACAAGTGGAGAACCAGTATTGAAGGCCAATTCGGTCAGGGTGGATGTGGTCCACTCCCAATAATTGATGAGGAGGTGTCAATACCAAGAGAGGGAAAATTGCTTTTGTAGTGAGCCAGCCACTCCAGTCCCTATTCAAGCCCAAATTAATGGTGTTAAGTTTGCAAATGAATTGTAACTCTGCAGTTTCTCTTTGAAGTCTGTTTTTGAAAAATTTGTTGTTGAAGAATAACAGATTTAAAAGTAGCCATTGAATGTCCAGGGAGATTAAAGTGTTCTCCTACTGGCTTTTGTATGTTACCATTCCTAATGTCTGATTTGTGTCCATTTATTCTTTTACGTAGAGACTGTCTGGTTTAGCCAATGTACATGACAGAGGGGCATTGCTGGCACATGATGGCATATATCACATTAGTAGATGTGCAGGTGAATGAGCCCCTGATGGTGTGGCTGGTGTGGTTGGGTCCTATGATGGTGTCGCAAGAGTAGATATGGGGACAGAGAAGGCAACAGGGTTTGTTACAGGGATTGGTTCCTGGGTTAGTGTTTCTGTGGTGTGTAGTTGCTGGTGAGTATTTGCTTCAGGTTGGGGGCTGTCTGTAAGCGAGGACTGGCCTGCCTCCCAAGGTCTGTGAGAGTGAGGGGTCGTTTTTCCAGGATAGGTTATAGATCATTGATGATGCGCTGGAGAGGGTTTAGTTGGGGGCTGTACATGATGGCCAGTGGTGTTCTGTTATTGTCCTCGTTGGGCCTGTCCTGTAGAAGGCGATTTCTGGGTACCTGTCTGGCTCTGTCAATCTGTTTCCTCACTTCTCCAGGTGGGTACTGTAGTTTTAAGAACGCTTGAAATCCATATCCAATTTTGTTTTGAATCTTTCTAATTTCTTGGCCTCAATGACTTCCTGCAGCAATGAGTTCCACAACCAGTCACATGTGAGAGTTTCTTTTATTGGTTTTGAATGTCGTACACTGAAACTTAATTGACTGTCCCCTTGTCCTTGTGTTACAAAACAGAGAGCTAAGAAGTTCCCGATCCATGTTCTCGATACCATGTGGATCATATACTTATATCCCCTCTTATTCATCCCCTTACTAAGATAAAAATCCCAAATTTTTCAATTTCTTCACATACGAGTTTCTCCACGCCCTGGATCACTCTTATTACCTTTCTTTGAACCCTTTTCTAGTTCTGCACTACTCTTTCTGAGATGGGATGACAGTACTGTCCACACTATTCCAGACACGTCCACACCACTGATTCACATCAAGGCATTGTAATATTTTTCACTCTTTTCCTTAGGTACCCTAACATCTTGTTTGCTCCTCCCTCCCAAAAAAGCTGTACATTGAGTAGAGGACTTCAATGAGCTGTCTACAATGACACCCTTTCCTGAGCTGGCAACTTAATTTAGAATCCTGTAAGGTGGGAGAATTTTTTACCAAGACAGTACTTGGACAAATTGAGTAAGGACTTCAGGATTTGGCCCTTCATCAACAACTGTAGCACCTTTTATCTTGAAGGATCCTAGAGCAGTGTTTCTCAACAACCAGCCTGTGGACCAGCGCTGGTCCCTGAGATCTCCCTGATACAGTTTAGGAAGGTAGCAAGCCGGTCCCTGGTATCAAAAAGGTTGAGAAACACTGTCCTAAAGCATTTTACAGCGACACTTAAAGGAATCAATTCATTCATGTCTGAAATGCAGCCATCTCTAGGGTGGAATGCAGCAGTTCAACACTGCACAGCAACACTAAACAGATATATTCAATTTTGTGCCTGGCAACAGTTGATCATGAGAACTACTTTTCCTGAGAGAGAATGTTAATGAGGACACAGGAATTATCCCTAACTAAGAAGTGCTGTGGGACGATCCACTTGAACGAGTAGTTCAACTTCATAGAAAATGGGAGGGGCTACCAACAAAAGGGCGGACTATATTTACTAACTAAAGACATACTTGCAGATGCGGATCAATCTCAAATATGGTCTCTCCTCTTCGCATATCGGTTATCAGCCACAGGCCTCCAGCACTACAAAGAAAGAAAGGCAGTGAACCAAAGTTACTCCCCCCGACCAGGAGCTCCCACCATTATGGTGCTTAATCAGAACAGATGCCTGGACGAAACAGGTAATGGACGGACTGCTTGTAAGACCCAGAGTGCCCAGTCACCCTTTAAATCCACAATTATATCATGAAAGTTCGTTACACTGCATGTTACTGCATGGCTGTGCTCAACACTGCTCAGCCTTGCATTGGAGACTCTCTCCTATTCTTGAATCCTGCTGAAGTGTTCCGAAGTTCAGAGCTGCTGCACAGCTCAGGAAGACAGTTAATATGGTTTGATCCCATTTACATTGCAAGACTGAATTAAGTTTTAGCCTTGCTAGGCACCGAGTTGTAACCAAGTAAAATTTCAGTGTTTACACATAGGCTACATTTAACAAGATCAGGGCCCAAATTGACAAAAATATTTAGGTGCCTATTTGCAGCCTTAGGTGACTAAATACCTTTGTCAATCCATCCTAGATCAGCAGAGTCACATTCAGTATCATAATTAGCTTCCTACCGTGGCTAACGTTCCTTCATTTTGCCTGGTTAGTATCCATGGTGCACATAAATGGTTCCGAGCAGCCTTAGCTTTCGTTAGCAATGAGGGTTGAAAGGCTCAACACCTCTCCTAGCAGAGGTGACGGGAGACAGTTTATTGCAAAAAGAGGCACCCTGAATTTTCACTTTGGGTCACAAGCAGCATAGATGGACTACGTCAGTTCAGAGCTATATTTTTGAACTGATTTACTAGAATTGCTCGTTGAATATGTTATTGCAACCAAACATCTCTTCTTGCCTTAAATGTTCACCTTACACTTTTCTTATAAACTAGATGTTAAAATGGTAAAAATTAGTATTTCATATTTTCTGATATGTATTGGTGATCACTGGTTTATCATATCACTTTGGGATTGGCAATTGTTAACTACAAAGATGCTATTCACTGCAATCCCTGAAAATTGTGATACTACAGATGCAATTCCGGAGTACCTAAAAATCAAGGCAGCTTTTGGCTTCAAAACACGGGTATTTCTTGGTTTTTGCCCTATCCTTGGAGATATATTGAAAGAAATGCCCACTCTGGTAGAGCTGGTCAAAGAATTGCAATCTTTGTTTTGTCTTTTTGAGTATTTAACAAGGAGAATGAAACCGCTCCACACAGCCTTTGAGCAGTCAGGGGTCAGACACTGTTTCAGTGTCTTGGGGTCATAGGAAAAAGGCTTGCATCCATGCTAAAGTTTTCCTCCCTGGGGCATCCGCAGGGACTGTCTGCACCTGTGCTGAGAGGAAGGGTTCAGAGTGAAACAGAAATATCAGCCTAATTCTGGACTGTCCCAGATATCTAGGCTGGACTTTTGAAAATAAAGCACTTTTTTGGGGCTAGAAAAGCCTGAGAAGTTTAATGGAGCCCTGGCATGTGCATGCAAAAACATTTAATATAAAACCTTTTGATCTATTACTATACCGCAACACCTTCCTCACCTTTAAAGATACGAGAAAAAGGTTTGACTAAAACGTCCGGTGACGTGTATCCTAGCAAACAAATACTGTAACAGTGATCTGCTGCTAATTCTTATATCTTTAAAACCACATCTTTCTTTGCCCAATACTGACTGTTTTTTTGCAAGAGGGAAATTACACAAAACCAGACTTACTAGGAAAATAAATACCATTCCTCGTGTGAATCAGCCCACCTGATCGGACTCAAATAGTTCATTTATAGAGATGCAGTCCAAACTTTGCTAGTACTCTAGTAAACTAGGCTCCTTCCCTCTTATTTTGAGCTGTATTGAAAGGTCACCTCAGTAAATTATTCTGGCTTAGCATCTGGTTCTTTTAGGAAGAACTAATGAGAAAATGCCACAGGCATAAGAGGAAGGAAATTAAAAGTCGAATATCTCATTCTACAGTAACTCCCCACTTAGCGTCCTCTCGCTTAACGTTATTTCGATCTTACACCCCTGCTCAATTACAGAACATGCTCCATTTAAAGTTGTGCAATGCTTTGCTATAACGCTGTTTGGTTGCCTGCTTTGTCCACAGTTGACAAGCCCCCATCAGCTCCCCTATGCCCCTCCCCCCCTGCAGACCCCACGGATCAGCGCCTTCTCCCTCCTCCCCCTGCGGCAATCAACTGGCTTGCGGCATTTGGGAGGGAGAGGGAAGAAGCGAGGACTTGGCGCACAGGCTCCCACTCCCTCCCCTGCCTCCCAAATGCCGCAAACCAGCTGATTGCCGCGGGCAGCAGGCGTGGGGAGGAGCGAGGACTTGAGGCACCTCCCCTCTCCCTCCCCTGCCTCCTGCCAGTGGCAACCAGCCAGCTTGCGGTGTTCAGGAGGCAGGGGAGGGAGGGGGGAGGAGCGAGGACACAGCGTGCGGAGTAAAGGGGGAGGAGAAGGGGAAGAAGAGGCAGGTTAAGGGTGGGGGCTTGGGGGAAGGGGTGGTGTGGGCGGGCCGAGGGTTGAGTCCCCCGCCCTGGTGCTTGCAGAGTAGGGGAAGCTGCCGCTGCTGCTGTGCAACGTGCTTCTCCTAGCCTACAGCACCTTCAGCCTCCTTGCCTGCCTCATTGTCTTCAGTGCCATGGACTGTGCCTGTGTGGGGTAAGGCGGGGGCACCTCCCAACTATAGTACTGTACTGTATGGACCAAAAAAAACAAAAAATTTTTAACCTGGAACCTAACCCCCCATTTACATTCATTCTTATGGGAAATTGGATTTGCTTAACATTGTTTCACTTAAAGTCGCATTTTTCAGGAACATAACTACAACGTTAAGCGAGGAGTTACTGTACTCTATTCTGAACAAGTGGATTCTCACATGTGTTAATAGCCATCTCAGTCTCTGCAGGTAAGGAAAGAGTTGCACTGAGCTCCCACCTCCCACAAAGCACGTTTAAATAAACAATCTACACGTTACAAATAAAAAACAAGTGACAACGTTGCCTCCTATTGGGCACCATTTCTGCCAGGCTGCTTGGGGTGATAAGCATTTCTGAAGCAAGTGCTCATAAGTCAGGTGGGGGTGCTGTACTTACACGGGCACAGTCCGAAGCAACTCCAAGATCCCCTGTCCATTCCACTGCTGTGCTGCATGCAGCTCCTCAGTGCAAACCCCAACGATCTAGAGCAAGAACAAATGGACTAAACTCAAGGCAACAGGTGCAAATGTGCCAAGTGCCAATGGAACGAGTGTTGGCTGGGTAAGATATGGGGGTGCGAGGCTGGTCCTTTAAGCTAGTTGGAGCTATAAAACAAGCCTGGGCTTGTGCAGAAGAACTACTATGCAGCCCTTTAAGCTGTCGCCCACATGAGCCCTCATGGCCCCCGCCCCTCTGTTTCAACATGCCCCTCCTACATGCCCTACGACAATCAAGCTTTAAAACAGAAAAGTATCTCATTAATTTTTTCATTTTCATGATAATTTTTTCTTATGGATCAAAATAAAACCACAACAATAAAACATCATACAAATGAAGGGGAAAAAAATAAATGTTCTCATTGGGAATAGGGTTGGAGGGCTAGGATCCATGAACGTGGGGAGGTGGGCTGTGTACGACAGAAGGGATAGGGGCTGCAGAGCAGTGAAGAGCAGGGAGTTAGCTAGGAGCTCTATTGCTTAGCCTTGCTCCCCTGCCCCCATCTCACCCATGACCTTCTTATTGATCCCCCATTATCTATCCCTTCCCCAGCCAGTCTTCCTCTTATACAGGAAAGCCCAAAAGTCAAGTCTTAATCTGACAGACTTCCTCAGGCCTATCACATGGGGACTCCCTGCTGATGAACTTCAGAGAGAGCCAGTGCCTTTGCAGTAGAGTTGCAAGGTGTGGGGTCTCTGATTACATGGGCTTCAACATTAGGCTTCTCTTGGTCTCATCCTGGACCCCCTCCCCGTTAGTAGCAGGGGATATGGACAGGAAGGAAGAGAGTTCTTCCTACAGGAGAAGCTGCTCCCTGTAGCATGGGAAAAATCAGAGCAGCTGGTGGGTCTGAGCAGCAACTAGTTTTACTGGCATAGCTCAGTTAGGATCTCCTGAATAAGGGGAAGAACTGTTTCGATTTAAAAAAATTAATAAGTGATCTAAGATGTGAGCGAGAGAGACGTTTGGTGAAGGGGGAAGACTGTCGATTAGCTAGAACCCAAAGAAATGAGATTCAGGGCTATGTTTCAAGGAGTCTTTTTAAAAAAAAAAAAGTTTCTTTTGCACATCAATACTTTTCTTAAACATTAGGTTGTTAGATGGAAAATTTCACTGGCCTCCGAAGAGCGTTTTTGATCAAGTTTGCAGACTAAAATTCAACCATTAAGTATGCAATTAAAATTCAACCAATAAGTGTCTCCTGCTTTAAGTGCAAATCTCAATGCAACCTTAACTACGCTGCCACCTACTGACGCTCCCATAATATTTTAAATATAATTTAGGACACCAGTGTAAGCAAAGCATACTTTGTGGAAGTACTTTTGCTCACTGTGTTTTATTTTCCCATTGATTTTCCAAGTTTTATTGGACCAAATACGTATTATAGTTCGTTCAACACCTGGCTGCATTTCAGTGGGTCAAATTACTTTTCTATCAGCCCCAGAAAGGGGACAGCTCCACTCCTGATCTGAGAGCTAGAGTGCAGGGGATGATACCTCCTGGTTATAAGCAAAAGAAGAGTGAAAACCCAGGTAAATCCCCATCTAAAAACCTGCTGTGACTCCTCAGTGACAAAACCTCTTGATCATCAAAGCTGCAGGAAGAAAGGTGGAAATCAGACAAATAATCATTAAGCAGAAGATGCTGCAGAATGGTGCTATTTATCATCAGGGAAGAATGTGATGTCAGCTCTGTACGGTAAGTATTAGTTCCCAGAACAGCCATTACTTTTCTATACCTGTAGGAAATTAACAACCCCAAAAGGGGTCTGTACTGGTTGCATTTGAGGATCTTCAGTCAGCAACATATGCTGGATTCTGGATTCACTGTTGTCCAAAGGACTGTGCCATGATACATGGTCGCCACTGCAGAAGGTATTTTCTGTGGAGGGGGAAAAACAAACAAACAGATATTTAGTAATAAAACTGCGGCCAGTATCCACCCATCCAACTCATCCTTACAGAAGGAAGGTTATCTAGCTGGCATTTGAATTTACACTTAAAATTGATCTGTTTCTGATCACAGACCTGCTGCAAGCACAGTGCTCTGGACTGACCACCACCACCACAGGAAGACAGGCTAAGAGCATGTGTCTTGCTTCCATCTATTATTATATAACCCATTTAATTTCTCTTGGAGGGACATACTAATGAGAATATAATACACGAAGACATCTAGCTATATTGTATGATTACTGAATGGCAAATCATGGCCATAATGAAGAAAAGATGCCAAATGACAGATGAAGTTTATCATCTGCAGAAGGTCATAGCTAGGCTGTTACAAGTCTGGCAGGAAAGCTAAAATCATCTTCTCCTGCAACTATATGTTTTAACTACTCTGGTGCTGCAATTTGAATAGCAGAGTGCCCTCTGACCTCACTCCACAATGGTGGAAAAGCCTCTAGATGGCTATAACCGTCACTGTATGCTGGGATAACTGAAACAGATTAGGATCCAGAAATTCCTCCTTATCCTTCCCTGCTATGAGTGTGTGACAATTTCTCTCCTCTCTTGCTCAGACAAAAAGAGGAGGAAGAGAGAAGATTAGCTCCATGCACTGTGTATCTGGCGGCTGTTAGGCAAGGTATTCCAGGGGAGTGGCACAATGGAACCTATTTATATAGGAGAAAACTTCACGGTAAAGGTGACACGCTTGCGAAAACCAGAGTGAAGTTCCCTGAAATGCAATGACAACTCAGACATTTTCACTTCAATAGAAGCAGGTTCCCCTGTGAATGCCACCAGAGGTAATTCTGTACCTTTTGTAAACTGAGGACCCTATGTTTGGTTCTCGTCCTCATCCCATGCTTGTTGTTCTCGGTACTTTGACAGTAGGTACTAATTAACATTCCAGAGACCAAGTTCTGTCCTTTAACGCAAATATGGGGTTTCCAATCTAGTCAGTGGATATGGGCACTGTGTGCATGCCTCTGAAATCACAGTCTATCACACTGCCTTCCCTTTCTTGAGGAATGTTTTATAAAGCCAGCTGTCCCTCAAAAAGTGGGGAGCCTGCTGTCCTCACAATGGAATGTTCTAATGTCACAGCTGTACCAGAGGTGAGAGGAAGTGTTTCCCTTTGTAATTAAAAATCACACAACACTAATCCTGCAGAAAGGAAAACGTGAATGGTTACTATAAAGTAGTGTTCCATCTGGGATACTGCCTGTGGGATCAGAGCGTGATCCCATTCAGAAGAGGGGTGTTGTCTGCTCTGAAGTTCTCTCACCCCCACTATTAACACAGGCATACCTTTTTGTACCATTAGTGGTATCCACTCTCTACCGCACTCTCCAGCTGCATGACCACCATTCTGAACATTTCCTTTGAAATAAATATCTCTGTGGCTGACCTCTCAGCTCTTATTCACTGAGCAGTCCTGCCGACTTCTATGGCTCTCTTTGGGTGGGTATGAATTAATCCGGTTGAGTAAAGGATGTTTGCTTGTAATTGTGTCATCAACTGACATTAGACAATGATGGATTGAAGAGCTCTGGACTAATTTACTGTGACAATTCTTAGTTTCTCCACCAGATGTCCCCACTGTTTATTCGAAAGTTTAGAAGTCATCTTTTACAACTGCATTTACTGATTTGATAAAAAAAAAATCAAAATAAACTCCAAGTACCAAGGGCAACTTGGCCAGACAGGTTGGGTGTGGAACAGAAGTGTTGTAATAAGTAAGGGAAAAGATTTCACACGTTAAAACTAGAGAAGGAAAAAATGCATCAGATAAGAACTGCTTAAAAACAGAGTAACACTGTACACAATAAATTAAACGCCCTGAGCTCTGCAGCTGAAGGGAACGAGGGATACACATTTTAGTGCCTGGCTCTCACGTCCCTTTCTTTTAGGGTTACTGAGACAACAAGAAGATTGCAAAATAAAAATTAAGTAAGATTTCCAAGTATCAAAATTCAATGCGTTTATTTTTAACTATAACTTGAAATAAATAGTGTTTACAATTTCATGAACGAGCCTTCCAATATTTTCCAGTGAGCCAGCCTATTAACCGAGATCTGGCCGATTAACGATTTTTGTAATGATAAAAGCCTTTTGGTCACAGTTTTCAGGCATTAAACAAAGCCACAAAAGAGCTCATTCTTGGGCCCTGTCTTTATGCCACAAGATTTTGCACATCAAGTGCTCACTCAATTCTATGCTGATCGATCGCTAAGTTTCACTGCTGGTACTGCTTCTCCTGGGAAATCCCAGTCCATTTAGAGCAGGTTTTCAAATGCAAATGTCTCTGCTGGAAACCCACCTGTTTATGTCTATTCGAACTCTGAACACTTAGAAAATGTTTTTCTCTCTCTCTCTCTCACACACACACCCCACAAAATTCACATTGACTGCTCAATTAATCCACAAAAAACCTAATGTGCAAATAACATGATCCCCAATTTAAACCCACAAGAGCCAGGAAATTCAGAGTTTAGCCTTGAAACTCAGCTCTTAATTCACTGCACTGTAATTGTAGCCCATGCGAGATGAGCTCTTGTACAGAAACCATCACTATACCTAGGCAAGTTTGAATTAGAGAAGTTTCAACAGCATGAGCAAAGAAATTATAGGAACAAAAGAGGGCCAGATACACCATCTAGGTTCACTTCCTTGTGTGGAGGTAACAGCTGATGCTACCAACCTTCTCCCCTGGCCCCCTTCAAACTTACCACGTTATGAAAAAGTGCAAGAACAATGAAAGTCTTTATTTGTGTGAGTTTAAGATGGACAAGATTTAAAAAAACAAAAAAAACAAAAAGCCCTACACCACACCTAGAAACCCCAAAGCTTGATTCTCCAATCAAAAGTTAAATTAGATTCAACAAACTAAGTTTTGGCACAGTCATGGTTGCATCAGAACACTCCCTATCACCCAAAACCTTAAAAGTATGGAAATAAGAAGTTAAAGGAAAAAGTCCGCTGCATCGTTTGCCCCCCTTCAAATGGCCTGTAATACCACTGATGAGACACTCCAACACTTCATAAGCCTTCTCTCCCCTCTCCAAAGGCATGCCAAAAAAGTGATACATACGCCAGCTTCATGAAGTGCGCATACTCACGCAAACCCAAGTGGGAACAGGTCACGGGCACTACACCAGGTAAATGGGAAACACATGAGGTGCAGGTTTCAGAGTAGCAGCCGTGTTAGTCTGTATCCGCAAAAAGAAGAACAGGAGTACTTGTGGCACCTTAGAGACTGTGGGAGAAATACCTTTCCTGCCCAAATGTGAAGTCTTGCATGCTTGAGGGGTCTGCCTCACAGAATCCGAAACCTTCAGGGAGGGACCTTGGAAAGGTCATCTACTCCAGCCTCCCACACTGAGGCAGGACCAAGTAGAAGAGTAAGGGAGCTGACCTGATACCCGCTCCTTTGGACCGAACAGCATCTTTCTGCTACAGTGCACTTCCATTGTTCCCATACTACAGGAATCAACGTAAAGATGCAGCAATTCATCATCTCAAAGTCATTTTTACGATCTTTGGTTTGTACTCAACTACATCTCTAAGAACCTTTTCTCAAGCTGGCTCTCACCAGACTCCCTCCCTCGGCCAATTTTTGTGATTTTGCAGCCACCACTTCCTATTCTTTACATGTTTCTCTCCATACTAGTGTGTGACTGACTTACTATACCAGACACCAGCTATACAGGAAGTGCTGGCAAATGCATAGAATAATACTGCAAGAGAAAGATTTTCATAGGTGTTATAAACTACAGCAGGCAAATTTTCAGAAATAAGTGAGTTGTTTGGTAAATCATTGATACCTCTTAAGCAGGGGTTGCCATGTCCTTGTAGATTTTCTGGAAACTTCCATATGGTTGAAATAGTCATTATATTGCACCCATTGGCATGATATCTAGCCCCTCTAACGTGCTCTGTCATGGCTCCCTCTTAACCATTGACAGGCTATGCAGATTAGCATTATTTAGATATACTTTTTCCTATTTGGGTGGTTTCAAATTTTTTTTTGCAACTGCTGACTACAACATACCCTAAGGGGTTCTTTCTTGCATCTTGCAGTTTTGTTTACACATGCTTCCTAACAAGGCAAAATGTAAGAAATATTTATTTCGGGCTGGAACCTAAACGATAGATGGCGGGGTTTATAATAAAAGTGGGGAAAAGCCATTAGTTACCACAAAGCAAACGCCTCCTTGACTACCACCACTAGAGAGGAAGCCATCAATCACAGGACAGTCATACTAGCACTGAAAGCTAGAATCATGGTGGGATTGCCGTTTCTTCTTTCACCTTCCACTTTAACTCTCTACCTACAGGAGCCCTGTTGTGGCCAGAGGAAATAATTGTATATAGCAGGTGAGGAATTTGGTCTGCACTTGCAGTAAGAATATTTTACTTAAAGATTGTCCTGTCAGTTGGGAAGAAGCCAGTTGGAATGTTCATGCCCCAGGAGATTTTCTGGAGGCTTCTTTTTTTTGGGGGGTGGGGAGGATTTAAATGGAGGAAAGCATCATTGGTTGGCGCGACCGTGTGAGGTGTGCCAATTGTGTGGGATGGGGGCTCAATGAGCTCTGAGACACAGATGGGAAGGAGGGCAGGGGGATGGGACTCAAAACAGACCAAGCTTTAAAGCAAGACGGCTTTTGCTCTCAGTAATTCAAATTGTACATGCAACACACCGGAGATTTACCTTGGGTACAAATAAAGAAGGATGGGGATGGAGGAGTGTTCCAAATGCTCTGTTCTCTGCTAGCACTATATGTTTTAAGCACATTATACAATCCACTGACACATCAAAAACAGCTAATTTACAAAAGAAATTTATTTAACTTTAAATAAAATAAAACTAAGTAACCAGAAAACGTTAGAAAAGTCTCTTTAAGGATGAATCAAAGCTGCGCACTTAGAACAAAG